AGTTTTAAAATATCGGCATATCGGATATCGGCCAAAATCCCAATATCGTACATCCCTATAAAAAATAAATAAAAATGGATCCCATCTTTTACCCCATAAAGACTTTATAGAATCTAAAATGAAGAAAACAGTTTTTCTCTTTTTGGGTAAAACTTTAAAGCTTTTCCACTGAAAAAATCTTCTAAAAGTTCTGCTTTTTGAATGTTTTCTTTGATCTACTGTATTCCAGGAGGAAAACTCCTCAGTCAATCAGCTGTTTTACACAACTAGTAAAAGAGGAGAAAATCCAATTCAGTCAAAAGACTCATGAGCAAATGAAAAAAATAAGTTATCACTCATTTCTTTCTATTTACATATTAAGTCTGCGTTACGGTAATGAAAGGATGAAGATCAGAATATAGGGGAAACGTAAAATTAAATAAAATATTTTTTTAACCAAATAAATGAAGGGGAAAAGGAACAAATAAATGAAATGGCTTAAAAGAATGAAAAAGAATGATAATACGTCATAAATGTGCTCAGAGGTTTTTGTGTCTCTCTGACGTTTGCAGGAAAGCCATCGCCAAGTCGGGCCTGCCGCACAGCACGTCTCAGCCCAACGCGTCCGGACAGACGGACTCTCTGCAGCCCAGCAGCACCGTGGACTGGAGCGTAAGTCTCTGAACTCCACATACATTTCCCTTCATTAGAAACGGGCTTCATTCAGAGAACAGGACAGAAACTGGACACGTTCTCCTTCCTGTAGATCAGAAGAGGATGAAAATGTTCCCATTGCTGTTAAACATCAAAGATTCTGGGTCAGAAGTTTGTTTTGGACATTTGCAGGCTTTTAATTTGCATACAGGAATAAACTCCAGATACCAGCAATGACGTAGGTTTCAGTTGTTTATCGGCTTGGAAGACGAAGCGATGATCCCAACCTGCGTTCGCTGCAGAGTGTCAGAAGGAGACCCGGTCCCAGAGACTCTGAACGTGGATCCCAGTGGTTCCTCCTCTGGCGTCTCCACAGCTGAGACCCGTTTTCTGCAGCTTGTTCTCAGCATGCTTCAGTCTTTCTGGAAGCTTCCCCTGGTGAAGTTTTTCCTCTTTTCTCAGACTTCCACCTTCTTCTCGTTCAGACCTTTAGTGATCGTCTTCTTCAGCACTTAATGAGAATCTGCAGCTGTTGTGGGGTTTCCCAGGCTTATCCAATATGGAGTGAAATCTGTTCCATTATTTATTCAAACACATTTTGTAAATTAAAGTAAAAAAAAAATGTAGAAATTAAACTTCTTTGAAAAAAAGTTTTAAGATCAGCTTTTGCTGTGTTTTCAGATTCAATTTTTTTCTTTTTTTTTTTTCCAATTCTCTTAACTTCTTAACTGTTACTCTTTTTCAGTTTGTGTTTTAGTACATAAAAGCGGTGTGAAACACTAATGGAAAAGAATGCTATTTATAAAACTATAAATAGCTATAACTATAAATAAAAAAAGAAATTGGAAAACAGTATGATTAGAAAGAATAAGATGTAAAAACATTTAAGACTAATAACAGTTAAAAACTAATAATAGTTAAAAAATAAAATTCGGCAAAAACCCTCTTAAAACTTGTTTTGATAAAAATCATCTCGATTGCATTATTTTGAAATTCCCATTTCTAAAACATTTTTTTTTTTGTTTTTGCTTAAAATAATAACAGAGCAAAGTTCCCTTCGCAGTCGTGTGGTGAACGTCAGCTTTAGCTTTTAGTTCTCAGCTGTGAGGGTTGCTGAGTTTAAGCAAACATGTGTTTGTTTGTCCTGCTACTCAGAGAAAAGACTCGGCTGATTATTTTTGATCCGTTTTAAATCCAGGACATTTAAAAGGCCTTTTTCAGAAATGATTACTTAATAACCTCGTCTTCAAACTGAAAAATTAAAGGAAGAAATTCACTTTAATTGGAATCTAACATTTTTTAACTTGCGGTTTAACTCCTACTAACATCCAGTTTTGTAATTTTGTTTTAAATTCACCTGCAAAAAATTTAAATAATTTAGCCACGAATGAGCTGTTAGGAGATTCAGGTCTGTTCAGCGCACAGGTGTGTCACCTGATCTAATGATGCGATTTGATTGGCTAAAAACTGCCAGACTGGGTTCAGCTCCGATTTCTTAAGCCACCAGATCAACAGGCAAATATCTAGCAAATCTAGAATTGCGCAGGATGAAAATGTAGTTAAGATTTATTGTCTAAAAACACCTGATTCTATTGAGGATTTTTTTTTTGGTTTATGGTAAGAGATTTAGAAACCTTATAATAATATAATTCAAATCTGTTACCTGCTTGTCAGTCGGCCTCTTTGACCTTTCAGTACTTAAATGCTGTGACTAATAGTTGTTTTTTTATTGACCTGCTGCCTTTAAAAACGGGATCAAATCTTAATTTCTCCTTTAGAGCAGTGAGAAGGTTTCAGGTTTATTGCATTTCAGTGGTTAAAATGCCAAACTTTCCCTGCCAACATGCCTAAGCAGACAATCTGAGCGAAACTCTTGATTGCCTCTGATTTAAGCCTGCTTGTGGTTTTCCTGTCAACCTTTTTTAATTCTGTAAACGCTGCGGCTGATTTTTCACCACAGTGTTTGCACTTGCAGGATTTCTCCTGTATTACAAGGAGCAGCACGGTTTGTTTAAGAACACACCCCTCCCAGACTTCCATACGGTTTCTAAGCTCGTTACTCATGAGCATAACACTTGAACCTGAGTCCGTTGGTCTGGATTACTGGAAAACAAAAGAGATAAAGAGATTCTGCAAATCATGTAGATATTAGGGATGCACGATATAATCGGCCCCCTATCGGTATCGGCCTTAAAACTGAATATCGGACATCGGCCACCCCACCGATATTTAACCCGATATTTGATCAGCTTCTGAGTTTATAAAGTCTAAAAAAAAAAAAAAAAATACTACTTCTTCTT